CTACTACTTCCATTAATTATGTTTCCATTTATAATTCAAATTTTTAATGTTTTCTTAAAATTGTCAAGTGACTTTTTCTTAGCTTGCCACTTGGCTAACTTCATACTTCACTACTCTCCTTTTAATATAATATAGATACATATACATAATATGTTCTTCTCTGTCTTGCTTGACTAATTTGTACACAAAAGACTTTGTCTTGGATTATCCTGCCTAACTGATAAATGAATAAATTATTTCTTCCAATCTGATATAAAATAGCCATGCAGCAATTCAATCATGACATGGACTCCTCTTAGGATTAAAAATTGATGGGTCCCGTGTCACTGAGGACAGCTGTGTATAGAATTATAATTCTACGATTGAACTTATTATATTTTAAAGTTATGGGTTTATATCTACTATTTATTATAAATTTAGTAATTTATATATATAAATTTATGTTCCGCATCGAAAGTACTGGATTCAATTGAATCCGGTAACTGTACGTTGCATCCCCCTCTGGTTAGTGACAGGGGCATTTTTGTTCACTTTATTAACGGTAGGGATAAATTTAAATGGAAAGTATAACGGAGGGTAAATATAAACGATTTCCAATTGTACATGAGTATATCTCGCCTTTTTCCAATATTCTAATAATATGTTTTCCAGAACCTTTTGCCACCTAACTTTCCTGTCTATTCTAACTTCTAAGGTTTGATTAACATAAGGAACAAGGGCCATTTCTAACGCGCAAATCTGGCAAATCTGACAAAACTGACTTATGGACTTAATTTCGTATATCGTCCCAACTTGTTTGACAGATTAAATTAATATACAATGCCTGTTAACTTTTTTTTTTTTAATGTTTGTGCGAATATTAACCTGTGGAAGCAAGCTAGTTAAATACCATTTAAGTTTACCATATAATATTTATCATATAATTTATCTATAAAATTACGTTATCTGTGCCGTGATTGTGCAACACATATTACATAAACTCTTATTTGATTGTAACAAAAAGTTTAATCATTATTTTTCACTACTAGAAATCCGGTAAATACCGACCAAAAAACCGACCAATTTTGGTCGGTTATGGCCAATTTCCGACCAAAATGCGACCAAATACGCTTGGACGGTATTTTGATGGTCGTTTTAATATACCGGCCAAAGTTGGTCGGAAATTACCGACCAACGTTGGTCGGTCAATTAAATTCAAACATAAAATATTGCAAAAAAAAAAACGACCAAAGTTGGTCGGTATTTTAATTATGTAATCAAAAGATTCATCACCTGGGAATTGAAACTGGGTGTGTACTGTGGCAAGATATTATTCAACCACTAGACCATTGGTGCATTTTGTTTTAAGATTGTCTTATTTTTTATTTATACTCTTTAATTGTATTGTCGCACGAAAATAGCCGACTAAAGTTGGTCGGTTTTATTAAAAAATAAAATTACCGACCAAAGTTGGTCGGTTTTATTAAAAAATAAAATTACCGACCAAAGTTGGTCGGTTTTTTAAAATGACAGACCGAATTTACCGACCAAAGTTGGTTGACTTTTTTAATATTAATTTTATTTATTTTAATTGCAAAAACCGACAAAAGTTGGTCGGTTTCTTGAAAAATAAATTTTGCGGGACTCAAAAATAGTTTCCCGTATTTTTGTGCCAAAGAAAATCGATCAAAGTTGATTGGTTTTGTAAAAAAAATTTAAATATTTTGAAAAACCGACCAAAGTTGGTCGGTTTTTGGCCAATTTTTTGACCGACCAAAGTTGATCGATTTTTCTTGATCGGTTTTTGCCGAATTTCTAGCAGTGTTTAAAATTATTTTTATGAAAGGGGCAGAGAATAATATATAATCTTTATCCCGTGCTAATGATCTTGATAGTTAGTTGAATGACATGAAATTTTTAGTATCATATACGTATTAGAATATATTATTTCTTAAAATTTCGTTTGGAGTAATAAATTGATAGACCTAATCCTTCAGTGAAGAACTTTTTTGTGGACTAAAGTAAAATTTTATTTTGTGTCTCATACAATTGATACTAGTTGTATGAGGTAATTTTTTTGTCTTACAGTTTTGTGGATTCAGATTTTTGTGGACCCAGAAGTGTAAGATTGGAGTCCACAAATTTGTGAGACAAAAATGAGCCTCATACAACTAGTGTAAGTTGTATGAGACACAAAATAAAACTTCTAAAGGAAAATTTTATTTTGTCTCTCATACAACTGACACTAGTTGTATGAGTCAAGTTTTATGTTTCACAGTTTTGTGGACCCAAATTTCTATGGACCCAGAAGTGTAAGATTGGGGTCCACAAATTTGTGAGACAAAAATGAGTCTCATACAATTAGCATAAATTGTATTAGACACAAAATAAAATTTCTCGTGGACTAAACCAGAAACCCCCGCGTAAGCTGAGGAGGTGACGTCATTAATAATCTCAGCATTAGTTTCTCCACCGAGCCATGTAACATATGGAACACCGAACACTCTCTTTACGCTCATTTGGACTTAGAGCTTGAAATTCAAATTTCCCACACGCTTCGAGCCTTTGAACCATATTTTGACATTTGACAGAGGTCAAACCATAGCCTCCATATATATACACACAATTTTTAGCCATTTTCCCTCCAATGGTCTCCTCGACTAAAATCTCATTCTTGATCACCCGGGACGTCCAATATACAAAACATTATACCCTTTTAACTAAGCATCTATGGAGGGTCAGGGACAGAGCCAGAGCCAGAATCAGAATCAGAGAAACGAACCAATTAAGTACAAAGGAGTGCGGTTGAGGAAGTGGGGAAAATGGGTTTCTGAAGTGAGGTTGCCCAACAGCCGGGAGAGAATATGGTTGGGCTCATATGATACGGCGGAGAAGGCCGCTAGAGCTTTTGATGCAGCCCAGTTTTGTCTACGTGGCCCTAATGCCAAATTTAATTTTCCCGAGAATCCGCCTGATATTTCCGGCGGACAGAGGCTTTCGCCGGCGGAGATACAGGTTGTTGCGGCGCAGTTTGCGAATGAATACGTGTATCCACAGACTACAACACAGGAAACACCACCATCACATGTCCAAAATACGCACGTGTTGAAAATGGAGAATGAGGAGACGTCGCAATCGTCAACTTGTGATCATGATTTGATAGGCCACATGGGCAACACTACTACAGTGGATTGGTCCTTTTTAGACATGTTGGAGAATTATCCTAATAATGCTGCTGCTGCTGCGGCTGCTCCACCACCACATATTTCTTCTCTTCCTCCTGCAGCCGCACCTCCTTCACCAGCTATTGGGACTAATAATTTTGATTTTGGATATTACCCTGGACTGGATACTTTGTCAAGTAACCTTTACTCACCACTACATTTTCCAACAAGAACAACAAATAGTAATGGAGATGAACATGGGTATGAGGACAGTGGCAATGGAGATGAACATTTTTCTCAGCATTCCTACCTCTGGAATTTTTAACCAAAAATAAGTCCTACTAATACTATACTATTACTTGGTTTAACCAGCAGCTAGGTCAATATTAGTTGCTGATTTTGACCCAATGGGATAATATGGGTTATTAGGGTAATTAATGTACGTAATGATCTTTCCGGTTTTCTTATACCACCTTTTTGCCGGAAAGTATATATGTTTCTTTGCCTTTGCTAGAAATGAGCAGAGTGCAGACATCACTATCTTAGTTAAAGAAATAAGTACATCTTTTTAGCGAGCTAGCTAGGGATAATTTTACGTATAAAGGAAGAAATCCATGTGGTATTAATCACCATGCTTCAATTACTCGCAGGTGTCAACTGATCACTCATTAGTGGCCAAAGCATAACTACATGGAGAACTTATATGTTGTCTCTTTGGCTAAAGTATCTTCTCTTACATGTATATATATATATATGTGTGTGTGTGTGTGTGTGTGTCTGTGTGTGGTGTTTGTAGACTATGGATTTACTTCTATTTCTATAGACTTGAAATATAATTTATTCTCTCTTCATTCGTTTCGTGGTATTTATTGGTACATATCAAATATGACGCTTTTCAAGTCGTTACATGTTTGTATGTATATATGTATCGTCGCACTTCCAGAGAAAAGAAAAGATCTAGTTACAAAGAGAACTTGGTTGCTCATAAATCATAATGGCTAGGTCAAGTTACTCATTACATAGAGCTAGCATAACTGCGTAAGTTACTTCATAAAAGTTCTCGTAATAAATTAACTATATTTATCAATGTGAAAAGTTACAGATTTTATTTATAATTAAGTGTACAAATTTAAATGATGAACAGTCAATGGCCTTTTACTTCAAGCATAATATCTAGTACTCCGATAACTTTACCATTCGAGAGTTACATGAAGGCTTCTTTATTCCTGCACTCTAATTATTTATTATTACTTCCTCCGCTCCACTTTAATTAATTTTTTGACTTTTTGTGGTTCACAATATCTGATTGTTTCAGATATCAAGAAGAAATTAATTTTTTTTCTTTAAAGTTGTCCTTGGAGTAAAGAACCTAGGAGTATTTTGTTATATTTCCAAAGAATACCTTAAAGTTAATATGGTCAATTTTTATGGTTAATTAATACTAATAGATGAATTGTTTAATATGTGTGAAAAGAACCAGAAAAAGTTAATTAAAGTGAAGCGGATGGAGTATATATTAACTTCAAATCATAAAAACTATTAAATTTCAAAATAAATCCATCGAGCTGCAGAGAGTTATTGGTCCTAGCTAGGATCATAGGTGTATGTTTATTTCTCTCACAAGAATATGGCTACGCCCAGCTGTCCAGCATAATCTTTTGTCAGCCTAGATTGTTTTTTGTTACTAGAAAATATTTCGTGTTGATTATCAGAAAATAAAATTTGCCTTTAATTCGAGGTACCTGTTGGAAAGAGTCAATAAGAATAGTGGTCAACATATTCATTATAAAATTAGTGGAACATGTATTATTAACTGGGCTGAAACTATCAAAAGGGCAGAATCAATCCCTAACACTAACACTAATTTCCTAGATTAAAGAACTCCAACCAAATAGACACATGTTTAAAACCATACATATATAATAGGCAAAAAGGAACTTTGGAATATGGCAGAATTGACCACTCAAAATTCTTTTCCGCGCCAGGGGTGCGGTGTACGAAAGTACAAACGTTGACTTTCAACAGCATTTGAAGGACCTAAATGAAACAGCACTGTATTTAGACCCTGTTGTCGAAAAATAAAAGAATTTAGAGAACGTGTATGTATACTACTTTTCCGTCTCATTTGATGTAAAAGTGTTTGATTTGCCAAAAAATATAAGATTAGAATAAAAAAATTAAAAATTATAATCTTAGATATGTCATGATATTTTTGTAACCACCAAATTAACAAAATAAAAAATTTAAGATTAAATTATTTTTAAAATTATAAAAATGTATCATTCTTTTGTACATATATTTACAATTAGGAAATACCATGTGTTACTCGTAAAATGGTACAGTTGAATTTATAATGTGATTTATAGACACGTGAATTAATTTGATCCAGAAATATAAAATAAATAAGAACAGAAATAAGATTATAAAAATAACTTAAAGGAAATACGAGTCTGGCTATGAATTTAGTTACTCCGGTAGCAGTAACAAGAACAATATTATGAATAAAATAAAGAGAGCAATTTGATAGGATGGGAGCTGATTCTAGCTTTTCCATGCAAAATATTTCATGTCCACCAATGGATACAAATTCTCCTATTTATAGCTCTATCCAGGGAAACAAGATCCCCAAATCAAGCCCTTCTTGAATGAGAATAAAACCTCTATTGATAGCTGCATAATCGTTGGTCATTAATACAGAGATTCCTTGTAACGGCTGCTCAATGAATGTTGTCTTACCCAACTGATGCTTTCCTTTCAAATCTTCATTGTCGATTCCCCTGCCTTCAGAATTTATATAGTACCGAAGAGATGTTTGTATCTGACGTTAACTATTTGATGACTCATATATTACCGGTCTCCAGTTCCACGTATCGCCTCATCATTCTTCCATCTTTCGCTAACCAATTTTACCTTATACACCATGCAGGTTAATTACTTCTAACTTAGGCTTTTGTCTTAATTCTTTCTCCAAAAAAACACAAATCATTATTCTCTTTATCGGATACTATCTTCCATAAATGTGAACATGGCGCTGGACGGCTGCACTTGGAAAATTGGCACCCTGGTCGGTGACGAACCTAGAGTGATCAACTCACAACATAGAGTTGTAGATATATTTGTATAGCTCCAGTACGGATTGTTAGATATCTCATACTATTGGAATATTGACGACAATGGGAAAATAGTTTTTGTCAAGGCTGAACGTTTGTTTGACGAAAAAAAAATTCAACTACATATTTTTCACATAAAAAAAGAAGAAGAAGAAGAAAATAACTTTCCGCATTTTTTGGGTGAAAGTCATTTTGCTTCACATCCTTATCAACTCTTAATTAACTTCATTGAAATGACTGATTTGCTAATGTCACACACCTCCTTTTTACCTAACCGAAAAGGATATAAGGGAGTTTTTTCCAATTTAAGTGACAATCGAAACGAGATTATTTATTTAAAAATCAAAGTCGTCACTTGGGATAATTTATGGTGTCCCAAGTCATCGATTTAAAATCTCGAATCGAGAAAGTTTGACTCTTATTTATGGTTTGCGAATACAGAAATCCGGGTAAGGAATTATGTTAACCCGGGAGAAGGTGTTAGACATTCCCGAGTTCCGTGGTTCTAGCACGGTCGCTTTGATCATACTTGGCTTAATCAAATTGTTTCATTCCTCAATTTTAGAACCTATGTGCATTTGCCTTTTAATTAAGAAATTATCTTGAAAACAGGTCATGCGTACGTATACCCGTTTGTTTGGCGCGTCAAAAATCATGTCACGCGAACGTGTCCACAATTAATAACGCTTTATTATTATTATTAAGAAAGTTTGGCCGAAGTTGTACGGATGCATACTCCGATACTTTTATTTTTAGAATCGTAATTATGTCACGCGAACATGTCCACAATCACGATAGTATATTAAACGTGTCTAAAGCGAACTACGAACATTTGCCATTTTTATACCTAGGGTATGGAATTTATAAGAGGGCCATATATGATTAAATGGTGGATGGCACACCTCGGACTATATGAACTAAATTTAATTAGTGGCCTAGTAAAACAAATTTATTATTAAGAAAGTTTGTTCAAAGCTGCGCAAACGCATACCCCAAAATGGTTTTTAGAATCGTAATTATATTACGTGAACGTATACATAATCACAATATTATTTTAAACGCGCCTAAAGGCTTTTCTACGAACATTTATGAATTGTATCTAAATTATAGAATTAAAGACATACCAACAGAAATTCTATGAACCCATAAAATTGATATACTAAGATAACATCAACAGATATTTCACTAGGACAATTGAGATCAATAGCGGAGTTTGAAAAATATTAGGAAGGTGTTAACCAAAAATTTACACGAGGATAATTTGCACCCACCTTCTGCAAAACATTGGGCACTCATGAAAAGTGTCATTTAGGCATTTCAACCAAAAAGTTCGATTCTTAATCTGCTAACGATTATCCACTATTCCAATGTCAAGTGTATAATGACTTTCTTTGACCAACCAAATGAAAACTTATTAGATTGATTTGTTACTTAAACGGACTAATCAAATCAAAGCTACTAGCAGAAAGAAATGAACCATATCTATCGAAAACACATGTTTTAAATGCATTGTCTATATTGAATTGGCTAGAAACAGTACTCAAAAAGCTTTTAATCCAAATTTCATGCGCAATTGGACAGCACCAGTCCACCCACGTCCCAGAAGTTCCATTTTTGCTTCAATGTTCAAAATTAACTCGTGAAACAATTTCTTTTATTCTTAGCTTGGTCTTTGCTTAACACTCTAAACCACTCAAATTAACCCAAATTACAACTAAATACAGGAGATCGGCAACTAAACAATAGAAAATATTTCCAGTAACTCCACATTAACGAACAAACGATAAACTCAGCATCCAAAACAAATTCATAAACAAATCATATTATTCTATTACAATAAGCAAAAGATCGAGTCAGAGAAAGAACGAAACCTTTGCAATCGCCTGATTCAAATGTTAAACTTCCAAATTCACGCGAAACAACAACAGCAAAGTCGAGCAAGAAATCGCAAGCAAAATCGAAACCTCGAACCGAAAACCTCGTCGAATTCGGAACAGACTACCTTCAACGGCGACCTCCACACGATTCAAACTCAAATTCGGCTCCAAACATCAATTAAACTCCATGTTGCAGAAAACTAAGAACCAAATCGAGAATGGAGAAGACGAAGTAGTTTTTTGTATTGTTTTCGATTTCTGTTCGTGTCTATCTATTCTAGCTCTAAGCTGATTCCCTCACTCTGTTTGTGTGTGTGCGTCTGTTCTCTGGTGGGCTACTGGTTCAGTGAAGGTGGCTGGAGATGGGTCTGGCCGGCGGGTTTGGGTGGAAACGGCGGAAAGGTTCAGTCGCCGGTGTTGTGTGTGAGGTGTTGCGGCTGCTGGTGG